GGTTTCTTCCTCCACAGCTTTTTATCATCAGAAATAGCTGCTTAGATACGAGATGAATTTGTTATCTTCCTGCTTAACTCATTAAGCCTCCCCTTTTTTAAAATCAATGCTTCTGCCTGATTCCTTTTATTTTAGCAACTGAGCAGAGCTAAGTAAAGATTTTAGGTATGCAGTCAAAACCAAAGTAAACACTTGGCTAACACTGAGCATCTGTGAGTCTCTGTTATTAGTTTGTTCAGGTCTGTTAGTCAGAGCCATGCTGGAATGTTGAGGTGGGACAAACCCGCCCTCTTGAGAGCTCTGGTGATTCCTCTGGGTTGAGACAACAGGGTTATCATCATCACACAGCCTGCTCTGTGTCCTTTAAGCTTGCCATCTGTCCTCGGGCACAATGAAGGATGCTGTCCAGTCACGTGGCTTGAAGAGTCCCAAGTCCAATGGGTTCCCTGGTACATTGATGTAGCTGAGTTTTGGAAAAGCTCAGAGTTCAGGTGGGGAATAAAAATTCTTTTCTAAAAAAAAAAATGGATCAGGAAGCTGGGAGAATTCAGTCAGCTTCGCTTCTCCTTTCTACCTATCTGCCTGTAGCAAACTTCCGCACTTGGCCTAGCACTGACCACTTTAGGATATTTACAAGCTATATTTTATACAACTCAGCAGAACAAAACGCTGCATCTGTGCTTCCTTTTCAAAAGGATTTCCCTGGATGGAGTTCTTTTCCCTTATGACACATTGACATATAAGTGTTTGAGGAAGGAAAGAAAGTGGAAAAAAGTTGCTTCGTTATTACACATTGCTAGCTGAACAGAGCCCGCCTAGCTATGTGCTGGGCATATCTTCCTTGGATTGTATAATGGATTATATAATGTATGTGGGGATCAGGATAATTCTGGAAGATTAATGGATTCAGATTCTCAAACTGGAATAAGATTTTGTTACCAGAGTCATAGCAATGGCATTTAGGCTTATATATTGCTCCATATCACTTTACTGCACTGTCTTGGAAGTTTACAATGTAAGCATTATTTGCATATTGCCTCTAACAATCTGGCTCCTCATTTTACCAACCTTGGAAGGATGGAAGGCTAAGTCAACCATGAGCCCTGCTAGGATCGAATTCCAGCCTGTGGGCAGAGTTTGCCTGCAACACTGCAGTATAACCACTGCACCACCAGGGCTCAATATTGAATAATATAATGCTAACATAATGTAGTGGACACATCTAGGTCTGATCTGAAGTCCAAGCCCATACTTTAAAAGACTGACCATTGTGAGACCAAGAATTATTTCCTGCTATATAAATCTACTCTGACACGGAGAACTTTTTTTTGGAGGCGTCTGTGGTTATAGCTGCCAAATTGCCAGAAAGTAAGTCTTATTGTTGATTGATTATAGACACCATTCTCAGAAAAACTTATTTGGTTTCCATGTAATGGTCTTTGGCTATCTTGCCATCTCATCTAGGATTCCTTTGGGCTTGGCACCTAAATACCTACTAGATTGCTTTGTCATATATGAATCACCCTATTCAATATGTTCTTGATGTAAAATGAAAGGAGACCAAGAGGCACTGTTTCTTAGTTGTTGCTGTGACCCTCCCTAAGAATGAAAAAGAGTTAGTCCATTTCTTCTGATGTTCTGGAAGCTACTGAAAATAAAACTTTGTAAAGAGTGTTTGATTGAATCAATCATCATGTTTAATTTCTTTTACTTTGAATTGCTTCTTTAGTATTTATAATAATTTATAGTTATTGTATTTTGCTTTGAGCTCAAGTTTTATTTCTTCATTGTCACTAATATAATTTATTCTTATGATATGATTTTAATTAGTTTTATGTATATATTTGTATATATTATGTATATATTTGTATTATGTATATATTTACTATTATGGATGCTTTCATTTCAACTGCTGGGAGTCTGCTCTGAATTGACCATATACTGTGCACGTAGAATAAACAAATTAATACATATAAACAAATTAATGATAAACATCCTTTTTCAGAATAGGCCTTTCAGTCTATTAAAATGTTATTGAAAATGCCTTACTGTTTGCTAGCTTTATTTCACACTCCAAAAGCCAAGGCAGACATGTTGTAAATCTTCCAAGCAGATTTCTTTGTTATTCCTCACCTAAAGGCAAAATCTTGCCAAACTAAAGCATGCTACCACCCCATAAAGAGTAAACTCAGGGAACTAATCGGGAGGAGCCAACTTCACCCATGTCCTCTCACTCTCACCCATACTAGCTGAACTGAGGTGTCTCTTCCTTCTCTGGAATGCAATCCTTCCCTCCTGGGAATCTGTAATACATTCCAGCACATCTTATCATGTTCTGCATGCAACTGTATAAGAATTTGGTAAAGATGAAATTATAATAAAATTAAAGTAATAAAACAATGAGTAAATAAAGGTTCTGTAATTGTACTGCACTATGGTTACAAATCTTCACATGATCCCAAAGAGTATGGCTTCCAGAAGTTAGCAGGTTATAATTTTTAATGTAACAGAAATAAACCGTTATTCAATGCATTCCAAGAGAGCAATTTATGAAGCATTTTTAATTTTAATGATAGTAGATGAATACATAGAAGATAGATGATTGATTGATTGATTGAGTGCATGCACTGGCACTATTTGCTAATTCTTGAAGTGTGCTATTTCTGACTCAGAAAGTTCCATATTCTATAACATTTTTGATACAAAACCTATCTGTGATCATTTTTATGTCAAGATAGGCAGTTGTTTTCACCTCAATTTCCACCATATGTTGCCATAAATGCTAAATGTGGGAGTTTTAATCCAAACATCTGGAGATTCAATATGAATGTTGAAATAGTCAACATTTCAAAAACCAGAATGGAAAATTTTCTTCTTTTTATACCCTTTTCTGGAAATGAGTTGTTCATTTACCTCACACTTTGGCTGTAAATGCCAAATGCCATCAAGCCTTCCAGTTCAGTATCATAAAGATATTTTCCCTCTAAGCAGTATGATTACATATATACTATTATATAATGTGGTCTGGTTTTACTGGCCCTTGACTCTAAATAAAAAAATGGAGCTTTTGGAATAAGCAAAGGTACAGCAGAAACATATTTAATGTTGCCCTTGATAACATCAGGTGACCTATTGCAAACAAGATTTTATGGTTTTTAGGCATTGGCATCATATCAAATAATTAAATAATCCTGTCATTCTTTATAGCATAGGACATTTCGATCAACAAGATATTTTGATTAACTTTTTTCTGAAATCTGTCAGTGGAATAGAACAGAAAGATTTAATCCTGTGTTCTACCTACTAATCCTCAGACCTTCTGCCTTACACATTATACTCCCAAGAAAAGACCTATTTACATAATTGGTAAATGATGATGCTACTGTAAAATAATTCTGACTATGAGGAAGTTACTCATCTATATTTATCTCATATGACTAGGAGCTATGCCAGGAATCGTTATTAAGAGCAAAGTCCAAAATGGGGAAGAACAAACCTTGGTCAGCAATTAAAATAGCTAGGTGCATACTTAAAGTTGTAGAATATACTGAACTTTGATAGAACATAATAGAAGCAATGATCAATAAGCGGATATCTGTGAGACACATTTGTACAGTTCTAAAATGTATTTTTACAAATTAAAATGTCTGCAGTTATTCCAGCATTACATCAATATCCTTCGTTAGTGTTCCTGTTTTTGGATGACAGTAATCTGTTTTAATTCCTTAACACCTGATTTCTTTGATGCTTCTCTTTGTGGTTTATTGCATTTCTAGTTGCATGTCAGCTCCAGAATGATTCGCACCAATTGGCTTGGCTCAATTTCGTGCGGCATCCTTATTTTTTTACCTTCCACTTCCATTTTGGTTCACAGCCAAAATTCTGTTACTCATAGTTGTAAGGCTGGCATTCCAGGACGAACTGGAACTGAAAGGTCAAAAATATGCCTCTCAGAGGATTCCAGCAGCACTAACAACACCTGCAACAACATTATCACTTCCTTAGAAAAAGAGTGCAATTGAAACAAGTCCAAACCATTCTGAGAGAGAATTCAGTCAACCTATTCCATCTTGCTTATTTTTGAAGGGAACCAGACTGAAAAAAGGACATTTGTTTTCATTAAAAATTAAAGCATTAAAAGCCATATATTGGTGACTTAGCAATTTCCCTAGATATTGTCCTGATTTCATTTTCAAATCATTATTTAATATTTGGCAATCTATATAAAATGAAGAATTCTCCCTTTCTGTACACACTCAGAAAAACCTGAGCTTTTTATCTTGGTTCAGCCATAAGCTCATATTATCTTTGTTCTGTTGCTTAACATTTCAGTCGCAAAGATTCAGAAACGCCGTTTCGTGTACTGCTGTGTAATCTGGACACTGAAAGAGTGAGATAAAGAGGAGCTGAAATCAGCAGAGAGCAGGCACAGAGCTAAAAATCCGTTGGCACAGAGTTTCCCGCTGAAGGGATTTCAACTTCATACAAGCAGGCACAAAGAATTTCAGCTCCATGTGAGTAGGCACAAAGCTGAGATCCTTTAGCAGGGAGCAGGGGTGGGTTTCTACAGGTTCTGTCCACCTCTGTAGAACCGGTAGCTCTGAAGAACAGCAGACATAGAACCGGTTCTATGCTGATGTTTTTGCCCACGCACCCACCTGGGCTCTTACCTGATCTTTATTTCCTGATTTTACAACTTCAGCTGCCAAATGAGGCACAGCTGCAGTTAAAAAAGCAGGAAAAGAGGGCTGTTTCAAAGGCTGCATCTCTGCACACAGCATGCTGATGACGATTTACAGGCACGCGGCTCACAGCGTGCAGGGAAGCTCGTAAATCCCAAACCGGTAGTTAACCTTGTCGTATCCCACCCTTGGCAGGGAGGTCTTTCAGCCAGCTCCAAGAGACAAGAGAGTGCTGAAATCCAAGCAGAGAAGCAGCATGGTAGGGTTGCTTCAAGAAGGTGGGGAGACTGGGATGTCTGACACAGGTCTACACAACAGGTTGTATGTTGAGGACCACCTGTATACATGCAAAGGCTTGGATCTCACAAATGTCTCCTTTACTATCTGCAAGACTGAACATTGTTTTCAAAAAGCAAGGAGGCGACTGTGTTATACCCCATGCCAAATAACGCTATACAGAAATATATCAAGAACAACTTTAGTACTAGATGGAAATACAGTACTGAAAAGTCAGTCTAGGCCTGAGTCCAACCTTTACTCAGAGCAGGACTCCAAGTTAAAGCATCCCAAAGACATGGTTGTCTGACAAACTGAATACATCAAGTCAAAGGAGCACATGCCAACTTTTGGTATAATGGTTCAACTGTTAGGTTGCTCTCACTACTAAGATTTTTTTTTTCTAACATTCAATTAGAACCTGCCATAAGTTTAAACCCAAATTCTGTGACTTGTACCTTGGAATGAGAAAGGTAAGCCTTTTCTTTTCTATGTGCCTTTCTTTGGTGGAATTTGAAAAGCCATTCAGTCTTTTCTCAAGAGTAAAATTCCCTACTGTGCAAAGGATTTTGTTTCTAGTCCTCCAGTCATCCTTGTTGCTGTTTTTCTGAACTTTCCAATTCTTTTGGAAAGAAAAGAAATTATTTCTTTTTAAGAAATTATTCTTAAAAGGCATGGTGCTCAAAACTGGACATAGTACTCAAAGTGGGCTCCGAACAAAACAGAACAAAAATAAAAGAATTATTTCTAGAAATTGGAAAGTATACTATATTAACACTATCTAAAATTGCTTTTATCTTTTTTTAAAGACCACATCACAGTGCTGATTTACTTTCCATTTGGAATGAACTACTATTCCAAAGCAGCCTCACCAAGTCCCCATCCTATCTATCTGCTTTTGATTTCTGTTCCCTAAGAGAAAACTTCTGCATTTTCCTCTGTAAAATTTCAGAGGCTGGCCTCAGGTCAAAAAAGCTTCTTGCAACTTTATGATTCTAGGGAATAGACTCCATCTAGTTCTATTAAGTTTCATTCCATTATTTGCAGCCCCTTTTTTTTACTTTCTAAGATCACTTTTAATTTTATATTTTGTCTTCAAGGATATTAAGTATCTTCTCCAATTTTGTGTCATTTGCAAATTGGATAAACGTTCCTTGCACCTTTTCCTCCAAAAAAATATAAAGAATGACCCTTATAACACTGTGCCCCCTTAAGTCTGTTGAGAACTATTGATGAAACTATTGAATATGATTTTCAAGCCAACTATACATTTATTTGTCATGTAGCCCAGCCCATATTTAAATTGCTCACTAATCAAAACGTCAGGGACTACATTATCAATTGTTTTGCTGAAATCAAGATATATTATGCCTACAGCATTCCCACAGTCTATGTTTTCCAATAAATAAGTGACAAAATGTTAGCCAGGCAAATCTTGTTCTTCACAAAGTTAGCTGACTTCTTTATAATCAGTGCATTATTGTCAATGTTCATACATACTGATCTGTTGACTATCTTCTACCCTAAACCTCTTTCTTGTAGTTTAATCCATTGTTTTTGACCCTGTTGTCCAGGGCAATAAAGAATTATCTGCTGTGTGATAACCCTTCAAATATTTGAAGACTCTTATGATATCTGAAAGAAAAGAGAGAATGAGAGGGAAGATGACTAAGATATACAAAAGTATTCATCATGTGGATAAAATGGGCAAGAAGAAGCTGTTTTCTCCTTCCCAAAATACTAAAACCAGTTATCACCCAGTGAAATTGGACATCATGGGGATTAATGACTACTGGATTTGATAGCAGTGAGATTGCTCTGAAAGCTACCTGCTGGGAACCTAATGGGTTTCCTTGTGCAGTTTGTTGGCCATTGTAAGAACAGATTGCTGAACTAGATGGACCAGAGATCTGATCTAGGAAGGCACAGCTTTTATTCTTATGTTCTCAGTCATCTTTTCTGCAGGCTAAACATTCTACTTCCTGCTTATTGAAGCGGGGTGTATGTGGAACAAATCTAAAGCTTTGGCATGCAACAGTAGAAGAATGCAAGAAAGCAAAATGCAACCCTGGAACAATTCAAGAAGGCAAAAAGTCAGTCCCTACTCCTCCTTGTTCAGAAAAGCACTGAATTCATAGATCACTTAGATACAGTTCTTGAAAAGATGGATGTCACTGAATTACAATCACAAAAGGAGTGAGCAATGGTTACATTTTCTGAAGCAAATTAAAGCAGTTTGACAGGATTAGGATACCTTCTCCCTTCAGCAATAGAAATGCTAATTGGTTAGAAATGTTTTCCTAGTCTTTGAATTTCTGTGAAGGGAAGAGAACCCAGAAAGCAGTGTGTTTCTGTTGCCCCTTAGACATCAGGTAATTACCACTGCAGGAGACTTTTGGAAAGTGGCAATGAGTTGCTATCCTTTGAGATAAACTAGACCAGTGGCTCCCAACCTTTTTTGTCCCACGGCCCAGTACCGGCATCACAAAATGATCCACAGACCGGTACCGGCGTCAGCGTGCACGACCGAGGCAAGGCGAGCCAGCCATCCCCGCTTCTCCCCACCACCTTCAACTCCTCCTTTGTACCTTTTTTGTGCTTTTCGGGCTCTTTCTTAATCTCCTCCTAACACGAGACTCCACCGCCATCGGGATGTCTCTTCGTTCAAAGCCCCCCCTCGACAAAACTAAACTTCAGCACCCAAACACCACTTTCCGACTGACAAACTCACCCGGAAGTACTTCCTCAAGCGTTGTCAAAACAAGATGGAGGCGCCCACTTCTTTGTGGCCCAATAAAAAATAACCCACGGACCGGTACCGGTCCGGGGCCTGGTGGTTGGGGACCACTGGACTAGACTACAAAGTCAAAGGCACATATTCTGTTACAGTAGCAGAATTTTGTCTGGTCTCCAACCTTCTCCTCTCAAAAAAAATAGTTCAGCTAGAGTTGGACCAGGGGCGATACAGATTATCTAGTTCATTTCTTGTCAGTGTTGGTGTGGGTCAAAAGATTCATCCTGAAGTTCCTTAACATCTACATGAAACTTTTGGGAGAGGTCACCTGTCAGCATGGAGTTATATATCATCAGTAAGATACAACTTTGTCCTCTGCCCGCCAATTAATGCCATTCTGTGCCTGGAGGCCATGAGAGAATAGGGAAAAATAGGCACCAACTCCACCATGAGAAAACCAAGTCTGAGTTTTGGGACCTCTGAAAACCAATCCTTGAGATTTTTTAAGCTATATGTGAGTTTGCACCTCCCTACTCAGAACTGGTAGCCAATTTGGAGATTTTCCTGGACTCATGGCTGCAGCTTGAAAAGGAGGGTCCTTGCATAACTTTGTCTTTGGGACCAATCACACCTCTGGCCATCATCCTGTAATGCTGCATCCTGCAGCATCCTGAGATTATCTGACCACAATTTGCAACCTTTCCAGGAAAAAAAAATGCCCATTAGGGAAGCTGGATTTGCTTTACGTCTGCCTGATTCTCTCATTGACTGCCATAACAGTTATCAAAAAATCAGACTGACTCAACTTCCAACTGCAATGACTTATGATGGAAATTCTGTGCCAATTGTACATAAATTGAGGATTAAATATGGAAAGAAATAAATATAATGTAAGTTCTAAAAGGAAAAAAAAATGAAGAAAAAAAAGAGAGGAAAAGATGTTATCAACTTCTTGTAAGAAGTAATTTGGGTATAGACTCCGTACAAGTTTATACTTATAATCCACCCTGAGAAAAAGCATTCCCTTTTTTTTAGCAGAGAATAAAATAATAAATAAAATATATCAAATGCATGCATCATTACAGTGGAAATGAATGCAAGTTGCCCTTGCTTGACTATGTGTATCTTGCTTATTTATGTATATCGTTCAAATCAAATAAACACAAAGTATATATAAAAGCAAACCTTTTTAATGTGTCTCTCTGAATTCTGTTCATTCACAGCAAAGAGTCATTAAAACTGATTGTCCCAGATAAGAGCAAGCCCTTGGTTGTTGTGAAAGGTTGTGCAAGTCTGCCAAGAACACAAGATTAATTGCAGGGAAAATTCAAAACCAAAAGTCTCAGAAACAAACCAGAATAGACTGGACTTCCACAAGAACTTGGAGTTGAAAGAACTTCTTTGCTTCCTGCAAAGAACCCAACCCCCTGAGGGCTAGCTTTTATCCCTTATGGGAGGAGCCATCACCTTGCAGCCTTACTCCTGAGTCGCCTGTGCTGCTGCAGCTGCTCTTTGCTTTGAGCAGCCCTGCGCGTACGTGCACTGGGCACAGGCTCCTCGGGGTCCTCTGCATCACTGCTGCCAGGCTCCGAAGGCAGCACCCCACTCTCCGATAGTCCTGGCCCCATCACATGCAGGCCCCTCATCCAAGTCCTCTCTCTCAGAGACCTCAGCCGTCCGTACCTGCTGCCGGCGAACCACAACGATATGTGTGTATAATATGTATATGTATATACATTGTGTATGTGTGTAATGAACACATAGACTTACATTCCCCACCATTTCTTTTTGGAAAACTAAGAATTCCTAGTGAAAATAATGCAACATTTTTCAGGAAGCATTTTTGCTGAAGATGATAAAGGAAATCAGCGCAGCAACAACCAAGTCTGAAAGAATCATGAGGGGCAAAGTCGTCCTTTACTTTTAAAGAGGACTTCTATTCCCTATAAAAAGGAAGGCCATTTGTAACCATTAAGGGTTTAAACTTTGTCTCTAATATCTAGTTGGAGCATGATAAGGAATCTGATACAGCGGGGCGGGGGGGATCTATGTTCTACTCACGTGATTTCACAAGACCTCATGAGTCACAAAAAAAGACAGAGACTTTTTTGAAGACTGGAACTTTTTGCTAAAAGAAGAAAAGGCTGAACTGGATTTGGGGGTCAACAAGGATTAAAGCAGGAGGCAATTGATAGAAGTATAGAAGTCAAAATCCTGTTTTCTTTTTTCACTTTTTTCTTTATTTTGTCTCTTGTTTTCTTGCCACTTTTTATACTTTTATTGTACAATACAATTCTAATAGAAATATATTTTAAAAGAAAAAGGGGTTTTTTTGTATCCTAAAAGGCTCCTTTCCTTTTTTTCATTTCCTTTTTCTCTTCTTGGATAGAAATATATTTTAAAAGAAAAAGGGGTTTTTTTGTATTCTAAAAGGCTCCTTTCCTTTTTTCCATTTCCTTTTTCTCTTCTTGGATAAATATTATAAGGCAGAATACGGAAGTTTCATGAAACAAGCAGGGCTCACGGGAAACATTGCAGTATTGGTGCTGCTGCTCAAAGCTGCAGCTGAAATATTCTCCTTGTTGTTTTTAAATTAGCACTCCGTAACTACTAATATCATCTCAATCTTTACCTCCTCCTGAATTAAACTTTTTTCCTAAATAATTTTCTATGCTTCTCTCTCCCTCTCTCCTTTCCTCCCTCCCTCCATCTCTCTCTCTGACTCTGTCTGGTGAATCGTGCCATTCTGGGTACACAGGAATCCAGCCTGAATATTATTAATTTTCATACAAGGAATAACAACGTGAATATCAGAGGGGGTGTGTGGAGGAAAGGACAAGATAATGCTGCTCTGGGAAATACTCTAGCATAAAATTCAGATGCTCCATTCCACTCTTTCTCCCCTGCCTTTTTTTTTTGGGGGGGGGGGAAATGGAGGTTGAGGGCAAGATGGCTGCCATGTGACAGCCCTTTTAGCGAGCTCTTTATCTTCCTATTATAACTACTTTTTAAATGTAAAATAGTTCATTTTTATCTAATATTATCTGTAAACTAGTAAAGTTAGTTTTCTTTTACTATGAGTAGTAGTTTCAGGTTTTTTTAAATTTAGGATTGGATAAGATTAGGGTTTAGACTCCAAATTCTGGAATTTATCAACTTCAAGCATTGGCAGATGAAGTGAGAGTATGTTCTAAAATCTTTTAAACCACCCAAGGATGCAGAAACAAAAGGTAACAGTAAAAGCAAAAAGTGTCTTGAAAAGAAAATTTAAAAGAAGGCATAAATTGGAAATATAATTGGGAGGAAACACAACATGGCAGCAACAACATCCAGACAACCAAAGATAAAGAATTTATTTCAGATAATGGGCACTCTCAGTAAATCTTTTTTTGCTCTTCCCCTCCTCATAACCTCAGTAAGTAAGCCCTGCTCCTTACAGGAGTGGGAGGAGGATGACTGCCTTTCTCTGGAAAATGAAGCTCCGTTAGGAGACAGAGGAGAGAACAAGGATAACACCAAGAGCAATTTTAAGGAAACTTGGATTTGGTTGTGCCAAGAATTGCCTCCTGACCGCACAAACAGTTATTGTGATATTTAACCTGCTCTTGAAAGCAAACAAAAAGATTGAATAATTAAAGTCTCTAATGGGAAACTACATCTCTAAATTAGTTAAGGAAGTAAATACCAAAGCCCGTGCTCCAAGACGTACTCTTCATGGATAGCTCATGTGGATTGGGAGCTTCAAGATGGAGAAGACACGGAGATATAGGATTCTACTCCAAATTGCTGATGTTTCTTTGAACAGGGCAGGTGGCATAACAGACAAGTAACACTGAACTCTCTTTCCCAAGTTTTACACTGTAGGGTATATTCTAATGAATTACCAAAGATTTCTTGGCTCCCCAGCAGACATGGTTGCAAAAGAATATTGTTAGCCTTTGGGCAGATTGCTCTTCCTTCGATGTGATTCAGGCTTGAAACTTTTCAAAGGGAATATTCTATTTGGCCAATATAAGTGTTTTGTACCACCCCAATCCATCCTCTGCCAAAGTCTGGGCAGAGAGCCAAGACAGTGAGGGAGGCTGACTTCAACCCTGAAAATTCTAAAATATTAACGGCTAAGCAAAGAAACCCTCTATTAACAAGGATAGAACAAGATAAGGATAATAAAAAGAAAAGAAAACTCATATCTACTTAATGGACAGTTACAGTTTATGGATGCTGAGGAAAAATTAATGCAGTTTGCTCAGGAGACCAACAGCCTGATTCTAAAGAAAATTGGAATGATTAGTTCACTATTGAAATCGGTAACTAATGCAACAGAAAATTTGAACATTCTGCTTCCCTCTCGCTGCTCCTCTGGGGAATTGTTACCAAGCTCAGTTTCTGAAAGCACCAAATCTCCAACAAATAAAAAGAGAAGGTGTGTCAGCCCAAAGCAAAAACTACTGGCACAAAATCAACAAAATGGAGACTGATAGACTCCCCAAGTCATGTTTATTAGAGCAGATAAAATCACAATTACAAACCTCTTGGTATCAGGAAGCTGACAAATTTCATAAGAAATTGTGGCCTTCCTGTTTCTTGTGTAACAGGAGAAGAAATTAAAAAAAGAGCTGCTCAGAGAATCAAGGATGTAGAAGCACAAAATGATATAGCTATCCTTAGTAAGGCTGGTAACTTGAAATAGCTGAGCAAATATAAATGTTCTTTTCAAATAGACAGCTATTTAAAGTTACAATTGTCAAAACATCTTATGGAGATATTAATGTGAGCGAGATTCAAACAGCTTGACACAATGGTCAGATATGGGAGATTCCATTCTATACACTATAATGGATGTCTCTGCATTTGCGGAGTGGCAGAGATAGAAGACTTGGCTCATATCTTATTTGACTGACCTGAGTAAGAGGATGAGAGAGAGGTACCTTGGTTCATATACTAAACGAATGACCCATTGGGAACCCCATATTAAAACAACTTACTATTGTGGCCCACTGAGTGCCAGTGGAACTGGCGGCAGACTTGGATGATCAGGAAGTTGGGGAGGAACTTGGGACAGTTCTGGGGTCTGGGGAAGGCTTTGATGGAAATTCTGCAAGAGCCAGGGCCATCCAACATTTCCCAACCACCGGAGAGGCAGCTGCTTTTGGAGGCTGAGATAAGTGGGGAAGAAGAACAGCTGGTGCCTATTCCAGATGCGCGTATATGCAGAGCTGTTAGGAGGGGAGAACAGCTGCGGACAAGGAGTAGACTCATGATGCAAGGCACACCTGGACACTGAATGGGCCCTCCCTGGCTGGGGAATAAATAGAAGGAAAGGGGAGCAGTGGTGCATTAACTATTAAGTAGACTAAGCACATGCTTAGGGCACCAGGCCCAAAAGGGGCACCACAAAGATGAGGATATGGCTTCATTTGTAAGTATGTACAAAGGAGGGAGGCACCAAGATTTATCAGTGCTTAGGGCACCAGTGACCCTTAATCCTTCACTGAAGGGGAGTGGTGGTTGTAGAAGACAACAGTTCAGATTTCTAAAGATTTGGCTTATTGTGTTTCCTATCTCAGAGACTGCTTGCCAGAACTTAATCTGCAGCTTCACAGCCTGGCAATTATCTCAAGGAACTGGGAAGGTTTGTTACTGCATTTAACTCTTTGAAGGACTATTGCCTGGACTTTTTGGTGTGTGAATGCCATTAATTCACAGGAGATAAATAGTTTTTTTGAGGGGGGGGGGGCAAGGAGTCTTTCTTGTTTCTGCTAAGGCTGAGTCAGAACACTTACCTTCCGTGCTGCCAGAATTTGAAAACAATACGGCACAGTACTTGAGCAAAATAATTCGGTTGAGAACAGCATATGTGGGACTGATTGGGGTAGATTATAGGGGTGATGCTGAAATATTTTGTTTTATTTATCTCTATATTAAATTATTGTATTTTATTTCAATTTCATTTTAAATTGTATTTTATTCCAATTCCATTTTAAATTGTTTTTATAATATTTTAGAAATTTGTGTTTGGAACTCTGCACTTTGATATGGCCTCTGGGCTGATCAATAAAATAAACTCAAACCCTTTCCCCCCCCCCCCCCCAATCCTTTTCCCCCAACAGTCCTTGGCTCTGTTTGCACAACCTGATTGACTCTGTCAATCACCCTCTTGAATAACAACCTAACTCTGTGCATCAAAGCACATAATTGTGGATGATCTGGCCAGACAGATTGCGATTGGAGTCGGTGCCATACTCTGTCTTATTCTGCCCATTTCAACTCAGCTGTGCCATTGAGAAGATGAATAAAAAGTCAAATGAGAGGCAGACTTTCTACGACTGGCCTGCTGTTTAGAAGGGTTAGCTAACCCCAGTGCAGACTGGTTTGTGATCTTCATAGGACATTATCAACTGCCTCTTGCAGCTCAAGCCAAACATGTTGCACAAATACAATTAGTTAGATAAATGCTTGGTAATTGGTAATAATTGCACTACCTAAATAAAATGCTAGGTTTTCTTCTGCTTTGAACGAGTTTGATCTCCCCATGTCTCCTACTTACAATGGGGTAATGTCACTTTGGGCCCTGCAGGACTGGTGTCCAGATGAGATCCCTGCCAGCGTATCAAGGGAGCAAACATTTTTGCCCAGCTGAGAATTCTCACCAGGCCTGCAACATTGGCTGGTTACTGGAAAAAGTAATGGAAGCCTTACAAGGGGAAAGTTCCCTTTGAAGCTATTCAGCCATCAGTGTTGTCATCACATGCTTTCAGTTGTTCTTTCCTTTTTTATTTTTTTTTTGTCCCAGCGCTTCAGGTTTTCATTCAGTCTCTCATTTTTTTTAAGAGATTGTGCGCTTTTATTTTCAATGCATCTTGCAGGAAGAAGTAAATAATTTCTCAACAGCAACTGAAGGAAAGAGATTCTAAAGAGATTACTGAATAATTGCTGATTATGCCCCACCTGATACTTGCCTATAGGAAATAGATTTTGTTGAGAGGTGCATTATCTTTAAGTAACACCAGGGCTCACCAGACAGCAATTTTTACTCTTTAAAAAAAATCTGTTGTAAACAAGTTAAAAAGATAAACAGGTTAGAATATTATTGCTGGTTAGTATAAGAATCAGTTAAAATTAAACCAGTTTACCTATCATAGCAAATCCTGATTTACCCAACCAGCATTATTTAATATATTATCATTGGCTGGGTTTGCCAAACTATTATTCATGGCTTACAAACCACAGAATCTGATTTGCACAATGCTATCCCTCTGAAGTAAACTAGACTAGAAAATCTCCCCCCACAACCTTAGTATGTCTTAAGACTAGATATAAAAGTTATTCATAATCAATTATTAACCGGAAAATCATCAGCGGTAGAATTCATCTTGCATCAACTCAACACAGCTATCAGAGTTGGGCAGCTAATAACTAACTAAAACAATATCAATCACAATGATAATAGTAATTCTAAGAGCTTTCTACTATTGCAGGACTGTGGTGGTAGAATCATGTCTTTAATGTGTTCCTAAAGGCTGGGAATATCAAGGCCAGTCTAAGATCTGGGGTGATGAGCCCCAGGCAGGTGTATGGTGGAAAAATCTCTGTTCTTGGTACAGCCAGATGACACTGTTCTTTAGAAAATATCTACATCTTGCCTCTCCTGCTGGATGGGATGGGATGGGTAGATGTAACCAGAAAAAAGTGGTTCATCAAATAATCCATCTCATGCCATATGAGTCTTCATAGGTCATAACCAGCCCCTTGAATTGAACCCACAAGCATATGGGCAACTAATGCAGCTTATGGAAACAGATTTAATGTGCGCTGATCAGGAAGCACACATAACCATCTGCATGGTTATATTTTGTACCAGTTGCAGTGTCTGGACGCTCCCCAAGGGCAACTCATATAGCATTACAGTAATTTATTTGAGAGATGACCAGGGCATGAGTGACTGTGGGCAGAGCCTCCTGGGCCAAGTACAACCTGTGCACAACATGGATTTGCACAAATGACCTCCTGGCCATGAATCCAGAAGAAGCCTCAGGTTGCACATTTGGTCTGTCTGGGGCAGTGCCACCATATCCAGAACCAAATATGGTAAATCCCCAAGACCAACAGCTCCCAAACCCAAAGCCACTTAGTCTTGCTAGGGTTGAGATGAAACTTGTTCTCTACACAGACCCTCATATCCTCCAGCCCCAGGACAGGACTCCAATACTGCTTAATTTGCCAAGGGTGGACATACAAAGCCAGATATCCTCAGCATGATACCAAACCATGGTTTCTTGAATAAGCCACGGTGCTTTCAGTAATACCATAAATTAGAGTTTACAAACCATGACACATTAAGCCAAAACCAAACAAGCCTTTTCATAGCTTAATACTATATTGTGGTGTTGGAAGTTAAAACCCACCCCTCCCCTAGGAAAATGAAATATTTTAGGATGTATGAGTAATGTATATTTATAATTTATAATTATATGAGCCTTGGTGGTGCAGTAGTTAGAGTGCAGTACTGCAAGCTACTCCTACTGCAATTTGGTAGATTGAATCCCACCAGGCTCAAGGTTGACTCAGCCTTCCATCCTTCCAAGGTGGGTAAAATGAGGAACCAAAATGTTGGAGGCAATATGCTGACTCTGTAAACTGATTTGAGAGGGCTGTAAAGCACTATAAAGCAATATATAAGTCTAAGTGCTATTGCTATTGCTATATACTAAAAAGGCAGAATATTTCCCCTAAAAAGAGAAGTAGAAACTCAGAAGCAGAAGAAGCTCACCCCCACCTTTGTTAATGGGTGGGCTTTGTTATTCTACATAACAAAGCCCTCTACCCACCTCACCACCCGGCCTGGGAAGATTACATCAGCCAATGCTCAGGGGAAGCCATGTGGTCCAGACAAAGCCTACAAGGTTAGCTAAGAGCCCTGCCCCTGGGAGTCTGACAGTCAATAGGATACATTTCTTACACAGGAACAGGAAAAGCTAAGGTGGGGCCCAACAGAAGGTATAAAACTAAGGGTCTCTCAGTGTCTTGGTCCTTCTTTTCCTTCACCCAGCATCTTGAAGCATGTGGTCATTCTTTTCACTTTGGAGCTCCAAGCCATGTGGTCCTGTCCAGTGGTGGGATTCAATTTTTTTTACTACCGGTTCTGTGGGCATGGCTTGGTGGACGTGGCAGGGGAAGGATACTGTAAAATCTCCAGTCAGAGGTGGTATTTGCTAGTTCTCCAGACTACTCAAAATTTCCACTACCGGTTCTCTAGAACTGGTCAGAACCTGCTGAAAACCACTTCTGGTCCTGTCCACCATTAAACCATCTTTCCAAACAGCCTCCATGTTTCCAGTGTCTTTTTCCCCACTTGGAACTGAACCCGGAAGGATATTTCTTCCAACAGTGGATTGAGCAAATAAGCAGACTTCCAAAATCAATTGGGATTAATCACAGCTTCAGAGAAGCTATTTTGTAGTTGCACTTTCGGTAGTTTTTTAAAATAAAATGTGAGCTGCAAAAGACTGAGGGATCCCCTGCTTTAAACAAAAAAGACCAAACCTATTCATATACAAGGCGTAATTCATGAGAAGTGCAAGAGTTCTCAATTGTTTTTCTTGGCAGTTCTCCTAGGGGTGAGGTTTTGTCACTGCTCCTATTTGGCTTCATCTTTTAAAGGATAACTTAACTGTAAAATGCACTGCTACGTATTGTTGGAAGCGGGTGTCCGCCCGCTCCCCCCCCCCCCCCCAAAAAAAGCAAGTTTAATCAGAGAAACACCCATCACAACCTCCCAGTTCTTTGGGTTTTATGCCAGCTGGAGGCTGTGGGCGGGGAGCATTTCAGCTAAGGCAACTGGGAATGGCTCCGCTATTGGCCCCGAGCTCCGTGGAGGCTTTCTTCCAAGTTACGCCTGTCAGGAATGAGCGAATGTTTTCACTTGGAAAAGGAAGATTTCCTCGAATCCCGAGAGCGCCTTAACTCCTCAGATTATTTTGAGAGGCAAAGATCAACAATGACTAAGGATCGGAGTGGCTGAAAGCTTTCCTCGAATGAAATCCCCAATGACAAGCAAAAAGATGGTTGCTTAACGATGAGTGATTGAAGGCAGAAACCACAACAGCTACGTTCCCACAAAGAGGCGCCGCCAAAACCAAAGCACGTTGGGAGTTCTCAGTGACGCGTGAACTCCGGCTAGGGAACGTATTTTGTACGGTGTGCTTTGCCCACCGGTCGGGCGAGGGAATCCCTTATTTCTTGGACCCGCGTTTCTAAGGTTCTTGCGACCTACAGAATCCAAATCACAGAAGATGCGTTCCCCAGACGCAATAGAACTAAAAACAAACAAACAAACAAACCGCGGGTTGGCCCGCTTGGGGAGCATCCTGACGTGCCAACGCCCTTAACCGTGCGATACACGGTACATTTCCCCCCCGCCCGCCCGCTCTTTTCAAACGCGCCACATCCTTTCCCTTTGGGGGCGTGCGTGGAACTGCGCCCTCCACCCAAAGCGTATAAAAGAAAAAAAGAAAAGAAAAAATAAATAAAAGGCGAACTCGCGCCTTCCCCGCGCCCTCAGCCAGTCGCTGCCTACGTGGGCGGCGTGTCTGGCCCGCGCGGGGCCTTGGAGTCGGGGGCGAGCGATGCGATCCGAGCGCCGCCTCAGCGGCGGAGGCTGAAGGAGGCGGCGATATAGCGGGGGAGGAAAAAAAGCGGAGCAGCCCGGCTGTCTTTCGCGAGAAGAAGGCGGGGGGTGGGTGGGGGAAGGTGGGACAGAAACCCGCAAGGAAACGGCAAAGGAGGGGGGGAAGGGGGTTGGCCTGAGAGGCGAGCGGGTTGCCGAGGGTATGCGGGGCGGCCACCGATTGCAACGGTATGTGTTGTGGCGGGGAGTGGTGGCGGTTAGGGTTGTGTAATGGCGAAATATCAGGGTTCCCCTCCTCTAATTTTAAAACTGGATTCTTTCTGTGAGTCGATGACTAAATTGTTCGCCTCGGGTTTCTTCCCTCTCTATTTCATTTTATTTTTTTTAACGCCGTTGACGGGGGCAGCTTATTCACACGTTCTCTTTCCCGGAGCGCTTGTGCCTCTCGGCTTTACTGCCTTTCTTGACTTGCTTCCCCTCTGAATTTTCAAGGAGAAGTAAAGAAACCTCCGCAAAGCCGTCAGATCTTCTTGGCGGGGTGGGTTGGCGGTGGCGGATGGAGGATACTACATCCCATCGACCTGGTAGCTTCTTCTCCAACCTACAGCGAATCTCCTATCATTCCCAACCAGGAAGGTGATGGGACGTTGTGATGTTGCATGATTATTTGTTGGGGTGGGGGTTGGGGGTAGAGAGAAAGTTTGGTTTTAGTCCAGCGGCTGTCAAAACGTTTCGATCCAAAGATCCCTTTACTTTCTCGAAAGAGATTGAGGACTCTGGTACATTTATTGATGTTGGTGCATTAGAAATTAAAAATGGAAACGTTTTAAAATAGTTATTTGATTTTGCAGATCCCCCGAAAAGATCCCTGAGACCTCCAAGGGTCTCCAGAGCACCCGTTGAAAGCTACTGCATTTATGTTTAAGGCTTCATTTCCTTCAACTTCAGAGGAATTTTCAAAAAGGAAATAGTGTAATATCATTTTTTTTTCTTTCATAACGGACTGTTCCACCCCTTCCATTGTGTTGGTTGAGTGTGAAAGATCACTTCCATTTCCTGCTTGCTCTCATCTTGCTGAGTTTAAAAGATGATGGGGGAGAAAACCGCTGATCACTTCCAATACCTGTCCTTTTACTTGCACTCTGCAGCATGCCTCTGTAGTTTTCTAGCACTGCAAAGTATTCAAGCAGTGCTCTGTTAAATAAATACCAAATTGCACTGGCGTGTCTCTTAAGTTTCAACTTCCTATTGGAAATTTCTACCCCTCTACCCAAAATCTAGATGTGTGTGGCAGCTGCTTATAGACATTTATTAGTGAATAGATGACCTTTCCTTTCCCTGTTGCTTCTCATGTTCAACAGCTGAGCTCTGGTGTGAAAAACAAGCTCCAGAGCTGAAATCCTCAGAGGCCTTTGCAGCCACCAGATTTTTTTTTTATTGGGTTCAAAGTATAAGGTATAGTATTTTGGAATATTCCGAGGGAGCCCAGAAGCATCTTCTGAGAATGTCTTGCTGTTCAGGACAGGCCAAAGGACAAAATGCTGTTTTGAATTTACTCTCTGTTGGGAAATATGTATTGTAATCTTACTGAAGAAGAAATCTGAGACCATGTCAGTCAGAAGTACAGAACGAAAGTGAAGTAATAAGAGACTTGCAAACTGGCTTCAATTCATGCTGGACTGCCGACCCAGTCTTTTGGGTTTGAGGACTATTAACATTATGTAGAACTTTTCTTTAGGTAGAACTTTCCTATCATATAATTTACTTCTGAGTTATCTAATTTGTGTGTGTGTGTGTGGGAACTTAGCTTGAGAAATAATGTTTGCCCATGATACCATGGAGTTAACCTTTGGTAAGATGGGGTGACCAATACATTTCATAAATAAATCCGTTCATCAGTGTGGTTAAACATGTATTACGTTCTTTAGAGTTGTACTTGATTCCTGGTGACTGGATAAAAGCTCTCCAAGTTGTCCTACCTCTTACTGCATTATAGAGCTCTTAAGGGTGCATTCATATAGCTTCCTATGCTCTGCCTAGCCCCCTCATGTGTTGTTGGCTTCTCCTTTGATCCATTCTTGTCCATCATTATCTTTTCTATCAGTCCTCATGCTGTGTCTAACATGGCTTTTGTACTGAGATCCTTGCTTCTAATGAATATCTGAGCTCGATTTCCTCTAATACTCAATGGTTGATCCTTTGGGTTGTCCAATAAGTGTGAAGCAGTTTCTTCTAGCATTCTAGGAGTAAATCTTTTTCCTAAATCTGTTCCTCCGTTGATATAAGCCCCAGTATATGCTGACCATTCTAAATTTTGTCTGAAATGTCACAGTTGTTGATGAGTTTATATGCATTCCTTTTTGCTCGCCATTCTTTCTCTTTTGTACAATTGTCTTTACCAATACTGCAGCCTAGAAAATCAAACTTAACAACTATCCCATTGTCTTACATTCCTATAGTTTTCCAGTAGACGTGACCTTTGTTTCCTTGATGTTCAAAGAAAGCCCAACCTTTTCACTCTCCTATTTTAGAATTGTTCCTGTTAGATATTTTCCTTTTTTTTTTTTTTTGCAACCAAGACAGTGTCATCTGTATTTTGGGTTCAAACGCCTCCTATCTTTTGAATGAAATTATTGTTATCCCCTTGTGTATTGCGGATACAAAATAAGAAGAGCTAATTTGCAAACATTTTGGTGGTTCCAGTTAACTTTATATTAAGCATGTAGAGTAATTGATAATATTTTTTTAAACTTAAAAAGAAAAAAACCTGGAGAGAAAGAGGAACAGAAAGGAAAGAATCATGCTTTGTGGTTTTTTACACCATTGCGTCTTTTTGCCTTAGAAGCAACAAATAATAAAGCTCCCGAAAAATAGTTTTGAAGCTTGTCTGAGGAATAGCACTGTCTTTTTTTTCTGGTCAGTTTTACTTGTCATTGGATCCCTTACCATATCACACATTGCAGCTCTAAAAGTGGTTGATGGATTAAATGGCTTGTATGAGCTATCCTAATCTTTACTGCCTGGAGCTTGTCTATAAAACTTTTATCGTTAATGACCTCAATACATTAAAAATGATGGTCAGTTTAACCATATGCTAAAACACACAACCATCAGCAGTGCCCAAAAGAGAGTGGAGGATCATGTGTAATTAGAATAGCAAAAAAACCTCCACTAATGTTTGTGTGTTTAGATCATTTTTGTCCATTGTTGCTTTGCCAATGTATTTATAGAGGCCAAGAACTGGTTTTACGGAGTGACAGTACATTGTGTTATTGTTGGCACCAATAAGAATGCAATTTTTTTTTCTTTCATGAGAAAAATTATACTACAGTTTAACAGCTGGGAGTATTTCTTGTATGACTGTATGTCCTCCTATATGCTGAATAAATTTGTTTTATTTTTTTCATCCCTGCTCTCACACTTCATGCTTTCTTTTAGCTATAGAAGACTTAGAATAACATTTTTTTTAGTAAAAGTTTTATTGGGTTTTCACAAAGCACAATAGAAATAAAACATCTTTTTTTGAGAGCAGCATGATTCCAGGTTATCACATCTCAATACAGACATAATCTCAGTTGCATATTCATCTTTGTATTCAATTTCATATATTATCACTATTTTATCAATTTTTCAATAATTCTTCTCTTCCCTTACTTTCCTCAGCCTTATTTTATAATTATCTCATTCCCTTTTAATTCAATTACATACCTTTTTCTAAATTTCTATATCTTTCTAGTCATTATATTTGTACTTTTCTACTGTCCTACTTACAATTTCATAGATTCTTTTCCATCATCATCCTGAAAAGGAAGAGAAAGAAGAAAATTCCCTCCCCTTCCAGGCATTAAAAAGCAAGGTTCCCCCTATAATTACCAAATAGAGTGTGTCACCTATATATTTTAAAATTATTATCCTTTCAAATCTCATTAAACATTTAATTTAAACATTATACAATTATAACATTCAATTTCTAATATCTATCTTGGTACTTTCTCTTAACAATAAACACTTAATTCTAAAAAAAGAAAAAAATATATAAAAATAATGAATAAAATGATTAATACATTCAAATTCATCCTGAAAACTGATATTTCATTATAAATCTTTCACATTTCTCTTAAATTGTATTTTATAAATCCTTAAAAACAATTATTTTCATTCATTCCTCTTATTTCCTAGCAAGCCTTCCATTACATCACAATATCAGTTTTATCTTTCATTTTAATCACCTATGTTTCATATTTTCTAGCTCATTACTATTTCTAATATAACAACACTTATCTCTTGTACCCTTGCAGAATCCTCTTTTAATTTATATTTTAACTATTATCTCTATGTCTTTTAAGTAGGCTAATACCTTTAATCCTTGTACATTTCCCGTTTCCTTATTTCCTGTTTCTGTCCCTTATAACTTCTTTTCCTTTTTATCTTCCCCTCTTTTTCTCTCCATCCTTTTTGTATCCCTGTCTCTCTGATTCTCCTTTCTTTAATCCTCTCTTCTGCTTTTTCCTAATGTGATATTTACTTTTCAAACTATTCTGTTTTTTTAGTTGTTTTCCCAAGGCTTACATTTTTAACTCATTTCCCCACTTTTTCCATTTTACCCCACATTGCATTTTTTGGTTGTTAAAGATGGCTTCTTCTTTGTCCAGCCCTTCTTGTTCTTCAAGCATTTCTTGTTGTTTTTCATAGTTCAAAATCTCAATTTCTAAAAATTGAAGTGTGAAGCCAAAGGATCCTCTTCCCTCTTGCGACTCTTCTTTCATTTTTTTTAAGTTCCATTTTTAATTCCTCAAGGAATTAAGGAATTTTAAACACTTGTAAACAACCACCCAATTGATTTTAATTCAAACCACTAAAAATCCAACACCCAAAATTCCAAAAATCACCAAGTAATCCAAAGCTCTTTCTTCTTGCTTCTTTCTTCCACTTTTCCTTTCCGGGGGCTTTGTTATATTGTAGCAAAGTTTCAGTTACAGTATATCCTTTGGAAATCTTTTTAAAGTTTCACAGTTAATTCTTTTTATTTCCAGGCGATACTCTGTGTTATTTCCAAGTCCACCCTTTCTTTTTCTCCCCACTTTCCTCCTTTTTGAGGGCTTTAGAATGTCCAAAAAAACCTTTATTTTCCCTTTGACACTTTAATTTCAGGTTAGGATTACCTGTTAGTGTCAAAGTAAATCAACACAAATTTCTTAGTTGAGTCTCTTCTTTTTAAACTTTCAAAGCCGATTGCAGCTATCAATGTGATAAAGAAAAAAAAAACTTTTTTCCTTTTCCCCTTTTTTCTCTGCCGCTTTAAAAATCTTCTTTTAGGAATAACACTTTTAATAATTTTAGTTCCAGGGTACCTTGCATAGATGTTATCTCAGCTTAGCCCGGTCTATCAAGCTCTCTCCCTTTGTCTTCCCTCCTGCTCAATCTTGTCCGGTCGGGTTCCTTTGAGGTGGCCATTTCTGACCACCGCTGCAACCGCCTTTGGGGAAGGGACTAATGCCAAGCCGAGGAGGAGAGATGTGGCTCTCTTCGACTCAGCTGGTGGTCTCACCCCTCTTCGTCACCTCTATGGGGTGGCTTCAGCCCCAAATCCAAAGGATTGGGGCGCTCCAGTGGTGAACACGGATCGAAATCGCGCACGATCGCCGATTTCGGTCCGTTGCTGAAGATGCCCAAACTGGAAGACCTAAGACTTAGAATAACTTTATTGCCATTTTGAATGTACACTAATCGGCATACATTAAAATGAAATTTCATTGCATGCAGCTTTCAAAGGGTCACCACCTCCAATATACACTACATAAACCTGACAAAATAAATACAAAATTAGCATAAACCCACATATATGACAGAGATATAATTTCATTCTGCTCATTATTGCCACTTTGTATATTGATTGATCATCATAGGAGTAGAATTAAAAATTGTTACTTCCTCTTTTGATTTTTCCAGTGAATCTTTAACCTCCATACCTTGTTTTACTTACCTTTCTCCATTTTATCCTACTTTTGGCATCCAGGATTTGCTCAAGGTCTTTTGCTACCCGAAACTAAGCAGAAAATGATGTCAGCCAAGTTGAAGGGCAGAGACACGACATCAGGCAGGCAGTGGAGGTGGGGGAGGGGCAAGCGTCATCCATTAGATTATAAATCCCATAAATGGGTCTCCTACCCTTGAAAATTACGTTTGGAGACAACAAATTATTGCTCATTGCTTTTTGGCAGGGATGGGCAGCCTATAGGCCATTGGTTGCCCCAAAGTCCAGCACCCTATCCGAATATGCTGCTGATGAAATTTGGTGACAATATGGCTGCTTTGCGGCAGTGTGAATTTTGGGTTGCTTTTAAAAACAATTGTAGAATTGAGACCCCCTGGCTTCTAAGAAGTACAGGTAGTCCTCAACTTACAACCAATTAGAGACTGTTTGAAGTTACAATGGCACTTATAAAAAGTGACATGACCGTTTTTCACACTTACAACCGTTGCAGTATTCCCATGGTCATGTGATCAAAAATTCAGACACTTGGCAACTAGCATGTATTTATGTCTTTACGGCAGTTGCAGTGTCCTGGAGTCACATGATTACCTTCCGCGACCTGACAAACAAAATCAATGTGGAAGTCAGATCACAGCTGGAGTGATTTATTTAACAATGGTGGCAAGAAAGGGCGTAAAATGGGGCAAAATTCACTTAGCAAATGTCTCACTCAGCAACAGAAATTTTGGGCTTAATTGGGGTCATAAGTCAAGGACTACTTGTAGTGGGATATTCTATTGCCCTTTCATTCTTTGCATACGGCCAAAATTGTGTTTTGTTGAACTTGGCTCATCTTGCACTGAAATGACCACCAACCAATTGTGTTAACAGGAGACAACTGCTTTTCAGTGAATTTTCAGGTTGGGGTTTTGCATACGAAGTAACGTCGCTATAAAAAATATTTTGTTCTCCTGTTGATAGGAAGAATACTGGTTATGTGTGCGTGTGTGTGTGTGTAAGCAGATGCAGATGCAGATTCCTTCACCATGTCAAAAGAAACAGGTCATTTTTCTTTTGCACTGAAATAGGTTTATTTCCTTAATTTGATTACATATATAAATACTCTCATTTGAAAGCAGGGTATTTCCTGAGGCTATTAATCAGAGTTGTTAATTTCCTGTACCTGGGATTAACTGTTTCCAGTCCATGAGACAACACTAAATGAAATGAAGCATGGTGTACTTGTATGAATAGGGTCAATTTCTCTCCGCTCATATGATATAACATCACAGACAACACATTTACTCTTGAGCACTGTTTTCATCATGTAAAGGAAACCGGAGATGTGTCCAGACAGCCTGTGGGCCGGATACGTCACGTACAGCTCCACGAAGGGGAAAATTGTCATGAAACCTCTCATGATGGCAACATGACGTGGCGAGTTTGACACCCATGCTCTACAATATATTCATTTTTTTTATACTATTTAATTCTTAGTATGGATGTCTACATTTTTCATATATGTCATTTTTATCCATCCAGAGTCACTTTTGGTGAGCCTATGCCTATTCAGTTAATAAGCCAATTAAATAAATGGTTACGGTAGCTTCTTTGTCTCCATTCTTAGCTCTCGTTTCCTTTTTAGCTTGGAGCTACTGTTTGGAGGACGTCATCTCCACATGGGTGTGTTTTCCAGCTAAGAGGGATGAAAAGGAAAACAACGTTTTCATGGAACCCAGTGAAACAGAGCAAAATTTCTCCCTGCGATCGATACAAACATGCCTGCTGCATCTGTAGGGGGTTCCTTTATGTTTACGGTGGCCGGAGAAATACTAGCTTGAGTGATTTCTGGAGATTCAAAATAGGTAAGGTGCGCTGTATTTGGTTTTGTTATGGCATGAAAAGAAATGCCTTAAGCTACAATCATACAATCCTGTTGGAATGTATTGCTATTTTTGAAATGGCCACCAGGCAGAGGCCTTTTCTATAAAGTTTTTTTCATTTCAAGCAAGATAATCTGGACTATTTTAATAATCTCATTAGATATTTAATGAGGTGTTATATGGCCGCTATGGATCGGTTTTCAAATGTTTTATTTACTGTTTTTGTTGCCTTCACAACCTTATATGAAATGGCGACCAGCTAATTCCTATTGCAAAAAGGTGGCTGGCCTCAGTGATACAATCCAGCAAAACTGCACTTACTACACGAGTAGCTGAAACAACCATGTATCTAAAATGGTAGACTGTACAGGTAGTCCTTGACTTACAACAATTTATTTGGTAACTGTTTGAAGTTACAACAGCACCAAAAACGTGATTTATCAGTGGTGGGATTCAAATCTTTTTTTACTACCAGTTCTGTGGGTGTGGCTTGGTGGGCGTGGCAGGGGAAGGATACAGTAAAATCTCCCATCAGAAGCGGTATTTGCCGGTTTTCTGAACTACTCAAAATTTCCGCTACCGTTCTCCAGAACTGGTCAGAACCTGCTGAATCCCACCTCTGCTTATGATCTCTTTTCACACTTACAACCAATGCAGCATCCTTAGGGCTACATGAACAAAATTTGGGCGCTTGGCGACTGGAATGAATTTATGATGGTTGCACTGTTCTGGGGGTCATGTGATCCCCTTTTGTGACCTTCTGACAAGTAACGCCAATGTGAAGCCAGATTCACTTAACAACCATGTTACTAACTTAAAATCTGCATGGATTCGCTTAACAGCTGTGGCAGGAAAGGTGGTAAAGTGGAGCAAAGGTCGCTTTTAACAACTGTCTTGCTTCGCAATGCAAATTTTGGGCTCGATTGTAGTCACCAGTTGAGGACTACCTGTAACAGAATAATAGCTTTGTATCTGGAATAGAAGAATGCTGGTTTCATAATGAGAGTGGAAATGATCCAGATTGGATTTTAAGAATACTTGATTACAACATGAAAACCCTGGGACTTCACAGGGTACTTGACTGTGCCAAGAACACAGGGCTGAAGTGGTGTTTTCAAAATGCACAGGTCTGCAGCCAAAACTCCGAGCCAATTCTTCTCTTCCCTCTCTAATGTCAAACACTTCCTGTGTTCTCTTGTTATCCTCTGCATTTTTCTGCAGATTGCTAGTGGTGGGACGGAAAAAAAAAGATATCTGGAGGTATTTGAACTGCATGTTTAGCTAAGTGTTCAGGAAGGGTAAAAGAAATGGGTCTGTTTTTCAGGATGGCCCCCTTCATCCAGGATGTGATTTGATTTGCAGATTCTGCTGGTAAAGTTGTAATTCCCAAAAAGGGCAAAAGTGCAAATACTAATAAAAAAGCTGCATTGACGTTATGCTTTGTTTCTACTACAGCGAGTAATGAATGGGAGGAACTGGACAATTCAAACGATGGCCCAGAAGAACTGGAAGAGCACACAATGGTGGATTATCAGGCAAGCTATAATAGCTAATTAGCTATAAATCACTTTATAGGTAATCCCAGATTTAGGATCACAATTGGGACTGGAGTTTTGGTTGTAGATGATTGCAGTTGTAAGTCGAGGTACCCATGTGACTGGAGCTGATTTTGGTGGCATTTTTACCATGGTCATTAAGCAAATCATGTGGCTATAAGCCTGAATCATGTGGTCAATAGATGAATCATGTTGCTCTTAAGCAAATCCATTCTACCAAATGGGCGGGGTCCCCCCCCCCGCGAAACTAGCAAATAATGCTGGAAACTGGCTAAAAACATTGCAAATCATGGATCATGTGACCATGGGATATTGTAACTGGTCATGAATTTGTTAATTTAAAACTTTATATAAAGATTTTACATTAATAAATTTACAACCAGTTACAGTATTCTATGGTCACATGACCATGTCATGTCACCCATCTTGGTGGCACAGTCCGAGTTAACGAATGCAGTACTGCAGGCTACTTCTGCTGACTGCCAGCTGCCAGCAGTTCGGTTCTCACCGGCTCAACGTTGACTCAGCCTTCCATCCTTCCGAGGTTGGTAAAATGAGGACCCAGATTGTTGGGGGCAATAGGCTGTCTCTATAAACCACTTAGAGAGGGCTGTAAAGCACTATAAAGTGGTATATAAGTCTAGGTGCTATTATTATTGCTATTTTATGATCAACTTGGATGGCTTCCAATCAGAATAAATGTGAGCCGAAATGCAGTCATATGACAGGGATGACACAATATTTTATGATAGGTGAAGCTAGAAGTGCTTTATGGGTTATAAAACACCCCTTCAGAGGTGTTTAATGAGGTAAACACTTATATCAACTTAATGAGTAGCATTTCACATAACTTTATTACCATAATATCACCACTACCTGGCTTTTGAAATAAAAATATTTTGAGAAAGTGTTTAGGTTTTAATCCATGCCGAAAAATGAACTGTCACTGGATATTGTGATGGATGGATTGGAAACTGGATTAAAATAACTTTTAAGGACTTGCATCCGTTCTTTGCCTTTCTTGTTGATGGGTTCTAAGGTCAAACTGAAGCATGGTTGAATATTTTTGATGGAATGGCTTTGAGAAGAACATGGAACTATGTGAAACTGGCATATAAAGTGATAATTTGTAATTCTTCCTGATTATTGTAGCCATAGGAGCTTGAAGATGTTTGTACTAAGCTCAACCCAAAAATGGAAGTTTTCAGACTTTGGTTTGAAAGTTGCACTAAATGGCAATAATCTATAGAAAATGCAAATGTGATTCATTGGAAAATGATTATTGTATTTGCAGGATATCCTCTATATCTTTGGTGGAATGGTGGATTCAGCTTTCACACAGAAGAGAAATCCTCTATGGATGTATGACATAGGTGAGGAATGAGATAAGTTTTATCCTTCCAATATATTTATGCATGTATTTCATAAATATGTACTAGTTTGTATCAAGAGTATTTTTATTCATGTACAATCTGTTCTGGTAAGGGTTGTAGATGAAGAACAAATTAACATATCAAACCAATAATTGTCTCCACCTCTTCTTGCATGCTTGGATGGAGAGCTAAGGAAGTACTGTAACTTTCTTCTTTTCCTCAGAAGCTGAGCCAGACGATTGCTCTGTTTAAATATTGGCCTTACTTGAGCTAACTTTCTAGACCAGGGGTGTCAAATTTGCGGACCATCACATGCTGGCCAGGCCCACACCCGGTTTAGCAAAGGGGGGAAAGTCACAATATGTCACGTGATGACGCGAGTTTGACATCCTGTTCTAGTCTGATACCCTTCAGTGGCTCAGAACCTGGGAACCATGGGAATTGTCATCTGACACACATGAAGAGTTCTGGATTGTGAAGATATTTGCCTTGCTGTATAGAAATAGTTCCTAAAATGAAGAGCACATTGCCATTCACTGCCTTGGGAATTGTATCTGGAGCTGAAATTTATATTGTGTGTTGTTGGTAAAGGAAAAACAGCCTGAAATTTTTCCTGCCAATCTCTCCTTTTAGTGCTCGCATAGCACTGCAAGCAGCACAGTAGCACCTTCTTGTGGTTAATGCTATGATTGACATTTTATATACCTGCAGATGCAACCAAGTGGATAGCCTGCCGGCTCCCAGCAGTAGCGGGTGAGGTAAGGAATAACACAACTAAATATAATGAATCATCCATGAAACCTGTTGCTTTGTTGATCAAATAGCTTGCTTAGTTACATACTTTGAAAACTGCTCCAGACTAGATGAGCCACCGCCATAAGGTAGCATGGTAAGTTTAAGATACTGCTGCTTCTGGTTTTCTGGGACATTTACATTATTCATACTTCACGTTTGGAAATGAATCTCTTCGATTCTGAATGTTGAAATAAGAATGGTTCTCTGGCTACAATTAATTCTATGGATGCAATTATTTCACAGATTGAATTCCTTGTTAGAATTACTGGAGTTTCCCCATAACCAACCCATCTCTCCAGGGGTGGGATTCAACCTGTGCAATAACCGATTCGGTGAGCGCACGCTTCACATCCCACCTCTCTGTCTCTCCCTCCTTCCTCCCTGTAATTTAAATCCTGCCTCAGACTAGCAACTCTCCGTAAATGTCAAAGTTAATGTCAAAGTTAGCTGAAGTTCACAAAAGCTTATGCCTTTTAATACATTTTGTTAGCTGGAAAGACTTCCTGTATTAAATGTGGAGAAACTCAGGAAGCAGAAGGCAACTGCACTAGTACAATTTAACACAGACCAACTAAGAGAGCCCCATTCAAATCCTAGTCTCTAAAGGGGCATGGTCTTGTATGTGGGGTGTGGGCAAAACAAATGTGGAAGAACCATGCACACATCCCTCTACTTTCCTTACAATCATGATTCCACAGGCTTAGCCAGAAGTTATATTTTCAGAGTTCTGACTTCCTGTTTTCCTTCCTGTTTAGCAGTAGGAGAACATCATCTGTAGGCTGTAGGAAACTTTGAAGTCATTTCTTCTCCCTCCTCCCAAAATATAGTTTAATTCATAATCTATCTATAGAATGTGTGCATTTTCCATCCATGTCTTTATATCTACATACATATGCACATCCATTCTCTTAATTTATGGAGATTTTCAATCATTTTAGTGGGAGTCGTAAGATTCCATCTATAGGGATAAATGTCAGCAAACTGGAAAGGAACATTATTTTTGAAGGATGTTGCTAAAATATGAACTGCTGGGACTTCCATTGAAGTAGTGCAGTATGAATGCCTTAGGACAGGAGTGTCAAACTCGATTTCATTGAGGGCCGCATCAGGGTTGTGTTTGATCCCCCAGGGGCTGGGAAGGGCATGGCCGGGATGGGCGTGGCCAGTTCGACATCACTCATCAAGGTTTGGTTTTTGGCCAACAGCCTCCCTGAGCTCCGTTTTTGCTGACAGGGCTGCAGGAGGCTGTTGCAGCTGAAAACGGAGCCTGGGAAGGCCACGCACTGCTCTCCCCAGCTGTTTTGATGGCAGAGGCATCGCAGGCTGGTCCTTTGCTGTTTCCAGGGTGGCCCTGCGGGCCAGATCTAAGGACCCTGAGGTCTGGATGCAGCCTGTGAGCCTTGAGTTTGACACTCCTGCCTTAGGATATTGCCTGCTTTCTATTGGTGTGATGGCAACGATAATTAAGGACGGTTGTTCCATTTTGTCTTCTCTCTCCATTTCTAGGTTCAAGTTCCTGTTAATCGGAAGGGCCACAGTGCTGTGGTCTACAGGGGCAATATGTATATATATGGGGGATACATTGATATTAAAGGTGCTTCCCAAGAATTCTGGACCTTTTATTTTGGTAAGTTAAACTTTCTCAGCAGCTATCTGATGTGTAAATAATGCTAGATGCGAAGAAAAACCCTTTGAAAACATCCAAAACGTATCTGTTTAAAAGGTAATGAACTCTAATTATCTTCCTTCAGATACAAAACAATGGGCCCCTCTATTGGTTGCATCCAGTGGGAACAGCCCAGGTCCCCGACATGGTCATTCTGCTGTGGTTTATGGCAATGGCATGTACTTGTTTGGAGGATTAATGGGACTGAGCGAACAGAAGGACTTCTGGATGTGGGATTTTATAGCCACCAACTGGTCCAGTATCAGGAGAAGGTAACTGTTTGAATGTACCTCACTAGCAGTTGCAAAAGTTTAAGAGGGCGAAGATAAAACCGTTTTTCCCCTGCCGATTGTTCCTAGAGTTACACAGAAGAGCAAGTTTATCTTTTTTACACATTAGCCATGAAGCCTAGCATCATAATGTTCCAGTTATGTTAGCTGGGATTTAAAGATGTTTGCACATCAATTGAAAACAGGGAGAAGGGGGACTTGAGTGCTGTGGGAAGGCACAGGCAAGAAAAACCCTGATACAGTTTCTAATATGGGTACCTTTGGGAGGGTCTTATTTTTCTAGAAGCAAATGTTTTTGATGACGTGGGTCGTCCCTTTTATTTGGCCCATTGCCCAGTTATGAATGGATAGTGTTTGCATCTTTGAAAAAGAAATCCTGAAGTGACAGAAGAATCGTAATAGCCAATACTGTACAGAGGAGACAACTTAAGGAGCATGGACAATATTCCCATGCATTTGAACAATACATGAATAGATAATTTATGGGAACTGTTTGGGGTGGACTATAGAAAGCGGTTCGTGACTTTTCCATGAATTACCCTGACTGGAGAGAAGCATTGAGAAGTTGAGCCCATTTTGATGAGCATCAGTGTCTTCCTTCTGCTGATTTATCTCTGCTGTGTTTGCCTCCAGCCAGGGACCTCCAAGAGTGGTGGGACATTCAGCTTTAATCTTGGAAGATTCCATGTTAATCCTTGGCGGAGGCCTTTCTAGCACTAAGCCAAATAATACTTTGTGGCAATATCATTTTCCATCTCAAACATGGGTAAAGTTGCCTAGCCCAGTGGTGCTGTCTTCCAAAGCATATCATCAGATGCTGCCAACTGGATTTGGTTTCCAAGGAGCTGCTGATTGCCCACTGAGATCACTTGGTTGCTTGAAGTCTAAAGAAAAGCGTTGTTCAAAGCTACTGACGTTTTCTAAACAGCACACCTGTTTCTTTGAGCATCTTCACGAGGAGCCTACATATCAGATACTCAACAATGAGACTGGCTCTGACATAGAAATGAAAACGTTTTGCCAGTCTTCAAAGGATTCTCTAGGATTCACTTCCTATCAAACCACATCCAGTGCAGAATTGAATTCAGATCCAGCAGCAGAGTTGCTGTGTAAAGAAAGAACCTCGTATCTCAACATTGCCAAGGAACAGGAATTTGCCACCATGACTGTAACAGATGAAGGGTCAAGCTTGGACACTCTGAAAAATGAATGTGGAGACATTTGTGAATCTTCTGTTGTGATGCTACTTGTTGGCGGTAAACCTCTGTCCAGTTCGCCTGCAATCTCATTTTGGCAAATTGAATTAAACGGAACTTAAATATCAGGCAACTCTCAAGAGGCAGAAGACATGCCTAAGCTCAGTGAAGTCGGCATCTGGGAAAAATCACTTGGCAGTTCTTGCTTACAATTGTATTGTGAAACCTAAATTCACACTTTGTATGACTCCAAAATACACGGGAATCCATAAAACATTATGAGATTTGTTTTCAGCTCTTTGCTCTGTAGACAACTTGGGTCTGCAAATGTAGATGAGGCAGTTATGATTAGGAAGCAGCCAACAGCAGCCATTGGTTGCATTCATTTCTTCGTGTATGTGTGCCATTTCAAAGCCCTTTGCAAATTGCCTATATAAAGGATGCAGTATAATCATTCCCATGACTAAGCTAGGTAATTGTAATTCAGTTCAGTGGCTGCTTTGGTATGACAGGCCTACGTGCTTATGCAAAGAAAACTTCTTAACCATCATTTATTCAGCAAACCCAATATTCTGCATTTGCACTATAAGCTAATCTGATATGTTTGGCTATCTAACAGTTTAACACAGATGTTTGGTCTATATGCTTGAGTTTGCTGTTAAAATGGTATCTGAGTGGGGGAGAGGGTGTTTCTTAGCATATGCTTAGTTGTTATATTGCACTGTTTAAAGCTGCATTTTCCCTCAATATGAAATTCACTGGGCTTCTATATTATCTCCTCTGATACAAGTTAAAGAGCCAGAGCTATATAATTTTATAGATCTTTAAAGAGTAGTTGTGTCTGTTCCAAGCACAGTTCAGACAAACTTAGTTCACATCGAAATAAGGTTCTCCAATTGCTGTGGTGTTTTTTGACCTTATAACCCAGAATGTAGCAGCATGCACGCAAATACTTCTACATTACAGCACTCTCCCTTCATAACCTGAAAGTGGCCTAGAAATAGATCTCTGAATATGATCAAAATACATTCATACACTCCAGCCGTACCAATTTGCAGCATTCCAGGCATTCCATGCATACTGTACATGACGGATGACATCAGATTAAGGTCTCTCTTCGTATACTATCCTCTTATCATGTCCCCTACTAGGCATGCAATCGCTGTTCTGGAAAACACAAGCACAGCTGGGCCTTATGCATGTCACATGGAAATAATTGGATGTCCTGCAGTGATGCTTCTTGGTGGTTTTGGGGGGTTTTTTTGCTTGTGAAGTTCACATTGCCAAGAACGTCTGGGCATGTTTTATTCTTTCCAAAATCACAGAAGGAGTTGGGCAAACAGCCAACTGTATAGAGAAGTTTGGCACGGAGAGTGGAACACGGGTGCTCAGCTTTTCAGTCCAGGGAGAGGCAGTTTGTGCAGAACAGAAAGGGGAAAGTGGTTTTCAGCCGGCCTAGTATTATTTTACTGATTTAATTTTATTAGTTTAACATAAAAAAAAATCCACACTGGGTTGATCCTCTCTCTGTATCATTTCATAGACATGGCTATGTATTTTCTGTGAGAAGAGTATGAGAGAGGTTTGTCACTATTTTTCTTCTTTTTGAACTAGCTCTAGGGATTTTCTGGTAGCCCCCTTACCCAGATTGACTGATTTAACATTTTGGAAATCAGCAAAATCATTTAAGTATTTGCTCCTTTTCATTTTGTGCCATCACAATAATGTAAAAAATTATTTTGCTAATACTTATTCAACTTCAGTCTATATGAAGAGAAAATGGTCCTTTGAAGTTACCCCTTCTTAATTTTTGAGAGGGAAAAAACCATGAAGTATATATATAGCATCAGGAAAAGCCTGCATGGTGCCTTTTTGATATTTTTTTTCTTTTCAGAAAACATCTGTTTTACATGCTATAAAAGTAGTTATATTTATTAATTATATTTTTTTGCTGCATGAAGCTTTATACCCAAGCTAAACTATATTAATTTAATTTTGTGAAAATGTTATTCACTGTGTTTTTAATTACTTTGTTAATAATATGCATCTCTGATTTTTGTAACGGTGGCATATTGAGAGGAAAAAAGGCAAAAATATAAGCTCACTGAATGATTTGCAGCTTGGCTGGAGATGACTGAACACTTGATATGTTGTAAGACACATTTCCTGGGGCATTACAGCTGGGAAACAAGATGAGTTGTTGATGCTTCATTTGTATGCTGATTGTTCTCATTGAGGATGAAAAGTCAAATATACTTCCTTCCTCTCCCCTACTTATTGCAACTATTTTGGTTAACATTCACTTACATTACCGCCACGAAGTAGAAATGTAGGGTCACTTCTGCTACGAAAAGCAAGATATTACTCCAAACCAGGATATCCTTAAGGAAGCAGATGATTTTGTCAGCATTCTGAACTGTGTGCATCAGTAGTCCCTAATGCTAGAGCATTGTTCTGCTAGAAGAAAAAACACTTAAGCAGACATTTTGTACAGTTGTGTTGTATTTAGAAATAAGCTACAACTTTTATGATTGATCCCAAGTGGTCTACAAATCACAGTTGTTGTTCCCTTATACAGTGTTTAGCACAATCATTCTAGCATAGTTTTTACATCTGGAATTACATACACTCATACACACAATACTTAAAAAAATAAGTTACACTTTCAGTAACTACATTGTTTAAAAAGATACAAATACAGTAGTTAGTCTGAGTTTTTTCTTTGAAAAAAAAAACAATCAAAATGGAAGTTCTTACATACTTCATAGAAAGTTTGTCCAATTAGGGAAAACATGTGAGAACAAAGGAATCTGTAATCAAAACATTAATCACATTAGGAATGCTGTATCAGAATGCTCTGTAGTCACTCCACATGCATTCTGTTTCAGAGAGAATAGGTGAACATTTTGCTCCAAGAGGAATGTTAATGCTTAGCGTTAATAACAGAGGCCCAAATTGTTCTGCCTCAATAATCACAGACACTTTAGTTATGGAGCAGTAAAGTATGTTCTCCTTGGGGCATCTTTCCTAGAGATACAAGTACTGTAACATGTGATAAGCGAAGAAAGAAAAGACAAATCTGAATGACTTGGCTTTATGCATGCAGACAAATTGCATTTGTAGGAAAAACTTCGTAATTATCTTACCAGAGGAAAAGCTTCAGCAGACAAACAGGATTGTTGTTAAAAATGCAAGCTAATTCAAGCATCTGTGGACACCTTGCTTGACGGTGAACAATGGCTGCTAATAAACACTAATTGCAATTTTGCATTCATTAGTCAAAGCAAAAGAATCTGCTGTTTTGGTCCATTTTAATCAATCAAAAGAGACACTAAGTTAGTTTCCAGATGCCCCATTAGAGACCTGCAGTGGAGGCTGTTCTATTGACAAAAGGCTTTCAATTCTTTATGTGATAGCTGTAATTTTGTCTTTGTACATATCTGCAAGGAGACTTTACCCACTGATAAATGTAGAGCCAATAATAACAGTATTCCACTTTCTATACCCACATTAGTTTCCTTTTTAAAAAAATGAAAATAGGATATGTATTTTGGAAAATTCTGTCAGTTAAATGAGTAAGGATCAAAACAGTAAATATATTGCCAAATGAGCAGTGATACTATAAGAACAATTCCTAATATTTCTTTTTAAAAAAAGCAAAACTGAAAACTAGCTCTCTTAATTTCTTTTGTTTTTGTCACAGCAGTACATCAGCTTAGTAAAATACAATGACAACAGCTGTTGGATAAAAAAAAAAAAAGCGCACAAAATTCTAGCGGTTAGGATTATCCAGACAATTCAAGGTAGCAGAGCTATCTTTCTGGATAATAGGCAAACACTACCATGTTCTCCGACCTCTCCTCATTCTTACATCGAGAATTAAGATAGTGTCACCCTAAATATTTTCATCCTTTGTAAAAATGCAGGTAAGGTTCATAAAAACATTGGCTCAGGGAAACGTCTGAAAAATCAATAACCAATTAAATGTTACCTCAGCTATTTCAAAGTCATTCCTCCTGAGGTCTGGTTATTGATGCTATTTGCCTCAGTGCCCCTCCCTCTCCCCCCACCCACCCCCGTTCCCATTATACTATTTTATGAAGCAATTGCTTAAAACAAGTATCGCAGATCAAAGGAAAGTAGCTCGTGTTATTTCACAAGCAGCAACAATAGGGACATTTGCATTTTTAACATCACTTCCACTATGAAAGAAGCTTTTGACGGGGCCGGTTTGCTTTTCCCTTCAGTGTTCATCCAGAAATTCATGGCACTCAGGTTTACTTGCTTTCTTGCCTAAATGCTTATAGGTCTTCCATCAGAAACAGATGGAGAAGTAATAAATCGTGTTTTTAAATGACTTAAGACTTTAGATTAGTATTTCAATCATGCACAGCAAGCAGAGCCGTTTCGGAAGAATCAGAATTAAGGCGTTGTACAATTTCCTTGCTTATTTTAAAAAGGGACAGAAGATGCAGGATGAGTTGGATCCCCCTGACCCACAGGAATAAATCTTAACTGCACAAGCCCAAGGGTATTTTTTGTTTTCAAAAATTCTAAGCATAAATTAAACTTGGGGTTTGCTTAGTTCCCCCCCCGCCCGAGTCTGTAACAGAATATAGGTTTAGTTCAAACTAGTTCAATCAGCAGTTTAATGCACAAAGGAAGGAATCCAATATATAAATAGTTACTCATCTAATATAGGAAAGTTGGCATAACCTTGGTATAGTTTTAATTTTCCAGTCATGAACGAAATACATATTCCAACTACAAGATTACTAAGTAGACTTGAAGAAAGGTACAGAATGGAGCACACAAAAAGGACAGTAAATTCTCACTGTATGCATTTGAAGCGATCTTAAAAGTCTCAGATTATTTCTGCACAAACCTTAGAACTTTCTAAAAAGTAGCTAGTGGAAAGCCCAAAGCAGACTAGCACTTCAACCTAATCTAGCAGAAACTGGGTTCACTGATACAGGAGAGTATCTATAGCTCATGGCTGAACTTGGTTGTTTTCTTGCAGACTTTTTTTTACCAAACTAGATAGCATCATCAGTGCTAAAGAGAGTGGACTTTATAGTTTGTGTTTTTATACATGTTAGTGTCTTATCCTATCTAAAGACAATCAAACAACCAAAAAAGAAACAAAAAGACCAAAACAGTTCATCACCAGCAATCAATACGAAGATGAGCAGAGATTAACACTAGACCAACAATCAAGAAGTAAAGAAAACCCCAATCAAGGAACTACCAACTCAGACAAATAAGCTAATAGTAAACAACCGAATCAAGAAACCACAAAGACCTTTCCAACTAATACTGACAGGCCAAGAGAACAAGTATGTTTTCTGCAAGAAAACAACTAAGCTCAGAAAGCACCAAGGACCCCATACCAGATGCACTGTCTACCTAGCAATATTTTAGTGACTTAATGGAACAAATCGTGAAAGTCATCCATGCACACATGTAGTAGCTTTGACATGTTTATGAGAGTATCTGCCAGCAGAATAAATTGCAATCAAGGTGATGCATTTTCACTTCCACAGATGATTAGCGAAAGTGTGGAGTCTAGAAACAAGATTAAAATCAAGAACATTTGCTGGGTAACAATACAAAAGGAGATAAAAATGGCCACAAAAAAAGGACTGTAAAAATGTCACTGCTATTTTCTTTTACAGTCACCGCCAGCCTTCCCGTAACTGTGTTTAAGCCAGGGGGAAAAAAAGCTTATCCCTGCGAGCATTTTCATTTGCACCTATAAACCAGGAAGGAATTCTCTAGCAAAAGCATTTTAATGGATGAAAACCCTGAGGATTTCATGTCATCTCAGGATTTGTTCCCATCTATTTTGCAAGAGATACTCAGGTTTCCCAGCAGCTCTGTGTCCTAAAATCATACTCTTAGTTCCAGTTGAAGGATTTACTGTAAAGCAACCATTCTTTGTTAACCATGGCATAAGCATGGCTTAGTGTCAGGTAAGTCTTTTACACTAGGAAATTAGATTTGTTGAAGCTCAGAGTTCAGTGGTGAGTAAACATTTCTGTCGAGTAGTATCTTCAGTAACAGGACTGTGAAGAAAAAGAAATATACATAAACTTGGGTGGATGATAAACAGAAAGCCTATCCTGGAATCATACCTGGCTGATGTTAACTTAAAGGTCAAGTGAAAAGCAAACAATTCCACGCATGTTGGGATGTCACGTAGCATTCCCAAAGTAGAGATATATTCCCTGTCTGGAAAAGTTTTAAGCAGGATCTCCCTGAGGGGTGCTAATCTCAGCCTACAACCAAAGGAAATATCCACAACCCCCTCCTTCTCCAGGTGTTTTTTTTTGGGGGGGGGGATGTAATTAGTTTTGTGGCAGGAGGGGAAACAATCAAGAAAGCTACATTCCAGCATAGATGGGTTGGAAAAGAGAGCAACAGTTCTCCTCCAACCTCTTGATCAGAAGGCGACTAAGGCAAGAGGCAAGGGCTGGGGGTGTGGTCTTGGAGTAAGGATTGGGTATCTCCAACCTTTTATCCTTCAGGCCCTGCAGCTGCACAAGGTCATCGAATATCCACATTATCTTTCAGAAACACTGTAATTTAAAGTATCTGATACACAGAGCAAATATAGTTTAAAAAGTATTTATGAACAGAGAAATGTTTGTATCATATACCCAATGACACCCCACTTTTAAAAGCATCTTAATGAACTTACTCACTGTAAATGGAACGTCAGATATAATGTTCTTACTTTCTTACATTGCTAAAGTTGAGTCACAAAGAGGACCAGAAAATTACTAGTGAAACTTGGTAGACTTAACAGACTCCTTGGGAATTGCAACATATTACAGTGTTCACAACACCTAACAGAAGAATTGGATTAGTAAGAATCCAGCAAGTATTGTCATGTAAGACATGCACTATACATTATATACAATAATCTGAAACTTGTACAATTCCTTCAGCATACCATTGTTCCTCAAAGTGGTGTGCTGTTAATGTTGTAGACTTAACTTCCCATGATGACTAGCTGGCTAGAACATGTGGAAGATAACAGACAGGGAAAGGGAGGACTGTTTTACTTTCATGAAAAGCAAGTCCTTACCTGGGTGTGATTTCAGAGGGGTACAATGGAGGTGATAAGTCAGTAGCCAATAGGGCTTCAGTGTTTATTTTAGTTGTCTTAAGAGATAAAGTAACATCATTTCCCAGAGGCCCATTAGAAGTCAGTCCACTCTATAAAGGAAACCAAAGGAAAGTCAGAAAAGTGATTGAGGTACGGTTGTTTTGATAAATGTCAGCAAAGGTATCAAATGTCTATCAAATGCAAATGCCATATCAGATAAGGATTAATATGTGAAATAAATGCTCCATTAATCCCTTGTCCTAGAATGTTTTCTTTCAGGCTATCTTTTCTCCTTCATAGCTTTTCCTTCCAATTTGTGAGATACAATGGTGACCAAATAATGACCAATTTGGATTGGGATAATGGTCAAGATAAAATTTATAAAAACCATTAACTAGCAGGACTTATCAGAAGGAGGTTTTCTGGGGGTAAAATATGCACCCCAGCATCAAATGTTTTAGCATCATCGTCAGTTTTGAGCGATGGTTAGGGGAGAAGCAAAATGAGTTCTTGAACCTCAAAAAAAAAAAAAAAACTTACCACACCCATTGACAACCTCCCAAATCTCCCTCCTCCCAAATTGGGGTGACACCTGGTTATGTTTTTGGGATGCAGCCTTGGAAGTGCAGTGCAAAGCCTGATATAGCCCTTGAATTGGTCACCTTCAATCACTCTTCAAGGGAGAAGGTAGCCTGGAGACAGATCAGAATATACAGATCCTCCAAATACAGTAGTTCCGAATTAGTAAGGGGAATAATTTTCAATCATAGCCACAAGGAAGGAACCTGACTGAAGAATGGACTGGGAAGTCCTGCCTTTTTTCAGAAGAATTAAGGGCCACTTCCAGGTGGCCAATGGTTTCTTTTGATAAAGCTGGAAATGTTTATTATCCATCATGCAATAGAAAGGGCAGACTTTTAGACATTATCTTAATCAATACTGATTTGTACCACTTCTTAACAACAGTTGAATGACTTACTAATAATAAGACACGGACGTACAAAAGAATGCAAAAATTAATTGTTTATAAGGATTATTCAATAACTTACTGGCACTAACCACCTGGGCATAATTATTGGTGAAGGCACCTAAAAGTAAAAGAAACATAAAAAAACTCATAATATTGTAACATAGCCAAGTGTCATATCAACTAAACTAATCATGAAACACCAGCTCAAAGAAGCCTTACTGAAAATAAAAAAGAGTAGAGGCAATTATATTTTCAAATTACACAATGAAACAACATCTACGTTTTAATTATTACTCTTACCTGAGGTGTGGCTTCTGTAAAGTCAATTAAATTCTTTGTCTGTGATGTCAACAAAATCTCCATGCTCTCGGAGGAACTCTGCAAAATGGAATAGTTAAGTTACGCTCAATTAGAGAAAAGTTCCAGAGTGTTTTGTAAAGA